CTACCAAGTCCTTTTTTGTCTATAGCCATGTTCACCAACATTGCCATTAGATCAAGGCCCACAGGCCCGACCACTAAGTCCTTTTGTTTTCTGGGACTTCCTCACCACATGACTGCATCCTTAGTCATTATACCAAAGGATTGCTCCTCTTCCTTTCCACCATTCAGGACTCTGGGACAACATTTTGAAACACTATGGCCCTACACGAGCCTTATGAGTACTCTCCCCACCTTTTGCCTTTGGGTGCTTTAGTCATGGGGCTAAAGTGAGGTTTTGTTAAGCCACACTAAATATCCAAGTAGATAGTGCCACCTATACTTAAACTGGGAGCATTGACCATTTGATCTCCTAAAGGAACTAGAGCCGGCTCTTGAACATTTCACTAAGCTACCCCGTTTGTTAATCTATATTCACTCTAGCTTAGTGGTTATCTCATCATCCAACATCTAGGTACAGCCTTCTTGGGCCAAATTGGCCTTTCCTAGCCAAATTGAATCCATTGGGGTCCAACCCCCACACTCTCCCTACTATACTTTTGGAGCCCCCTACAGCCCGCCCCCCCCTCCCCCCCCCCCCGGGGGGACAATCACTTTATGCTTTCATCCAACAGTCTGTAATAGTATTAGGACTCAAATTCGGACTTGGACTCGGACTCGAACTCGGTCTTAGTCTCAGACTCAGTCTCGGTCTTGGTCTCGATTTCAGACTCAAACTCAATCTCAGTCTCGGTCTCAAGTCCATCTTGGACTCTATCTGGGACTCCATCTCAAGTCCATCTTGGACTCCATCTCGGACTCCATCTGGGGTCCATCTTGAACTCCATCTTGGACTCCATCTCGGACTTCATCTCAGATCCATCTTGGAGTCCATCTCGAGTCCATCTTAAACTCCATCTTGGATCCATCTCAAACTCCATCTCAAATCCATCTCGGACTCCATCTTGGACTCCATCTCAAGTCCATCTTGGACTCCATCTTGGGTCCTTCCACATGTCATGTGTTGGTCCTTTTGTGTCCCTTTTTTAGAGACTCATTTATTGCTTGCTTCGTGCTCGTTCCTCAAGCACTTTATTAAGAGTTCCACTCCCACTTTCAACTTTTCAAATTGGAGTTTTTAGTCTATATGTGTTACCCTCATTTGGCTTCCGCCTCAGCCACTACCACGTGGCACCCTTTCGGCTCCTCTTTGGGGCCTAGGGATTTTATGTCTCACATAAAGGTGGTTAAAGCAAATGCATACATAAGTCTTACAAGATTTTGATGAAATGCTAGCCATAACATTCTTAACTTGATCTGCTCTGACATATTTAGCTTCACACGAAGCAAGAGGCTTCGGAACAAAATGCCAAATTACATCACAGACTTAAATATCCCTTGTTGAAGATGATGCAATTGTTGGAAGGCATTGTCACAATTATCGATATGTTCAAATACACGTTTGAAGACGTCTAGGAGAATGCTTTAATCCTCACGAGTGGCTGCACTCAAACCATTGTACCATTATAGTATTGTCCTTTAAAGACACGTGGAAAATTCATGCAAACACCAAGCATCATCCCAAGAATGATATATATCAATCACCATGAAGTTAACGAATCAATGGTACACATCATCCCCATGTACTATTCAAACCCAAGGATACTTAACCCAAAATATCCCAAGACCCTTAACCGATTGAAAAAAGGGGTGTATTCTTATTCATGGGCCCTTTTCATGAATAAAAATAAAAGTTGAGAGCTACAACTTTCCCGAGAGCCCCACTCTCTTGACACTCTACCCCTCGGGTCAAGCCCAATTGAAACAAACTAGACCTACCAAATGTCAATCAATATGTGGTGTGATTCTCTTAGCCAACTAATAGAGTCAAACCCAAAACCTCTCTGATACCAAATGTAAGCTCCTAAATTTAGACTTCCCAGAAAGTCACCCAACCCAATACTATTCAAACCCAAGGACGCTTAACCCCAAATATCCCAAAACCATTAACCGATTGGAAAAGGGCATACATTCTTATTAATAGGCCCTTTCCCTCTATATTTGAACCCAATAAATAATCTCTCAAGTCGTTTTTTTTTGTTGCTTACACCCCAGGATTCCCACAGAAGAACTCCGGTTGGACTCAAGGATTAGTAGTAAAAGCAAGAGGAGTTGTACCACACGCTATGAATGTCGCTATCAACTGAGTCTAATTGTTTAATTGCAACTATATAGCATTGATCAATTGCACCAACTACTACTCCAAAGTTAAAGGAGAAGGAGGCTACTGCTCTACCATGAAGATGAATGAAAGGAAAGACCAAAAGAGAAGAAGGTGAGAAAAACTATAAAAAAAAGGGAGATCTAGACAATGCAAAAGCTAGATCTAAAACAAAATCCCAAATTTAAGCACTCCTCAAGAACAATCAAAGTCGCCCCTCATCTCCATTAATATGAGTGTATAAAATATGGAAAGAGAATATAGAAATGTGTATATCAATTAGCCAAAAAACCCTAGTTTATATATAAGAACGAGTGAAATCAATCTAACGGCTACCAAAATCTCACTATGCTAATATTAGTATATGGCATCATAGCCATAATATAAAAGAGAAATTTTAAATATAGTAACTTTTTCTTTTTGTAGTTATAAAGTTATCTTTTTGCAATCAGTATAGTAAAATCTAAATATTAAACTAGAATTCAATTAAAACAATATATTTGAATTAGTTACACCTAAATTAAATATTTGGATTAGCATATGCTTCTTTCAAGAATACTTACATGGTTGGTAAAAGGTAAATACTAAACCTTAAACCTAAACATATTTGATTGCATTATTGTTTACATGGTCTAGCCATGAAGAATGACACCTTTATGCAAGCAATTTGGACGATGATTGTTACTATCCACTATCTGTCTTTTGCCTTATTATGGTGCTCTGCTAATGGTGGCCTTTGTGTGTCACTTGTGAATTGTACATGAATGAGGCCTATGACTGTCTCTTGAAGTTCTCTTCCACTACCCAAAGAAAGTTGTAAAGCTCATTCAATTGGTAGAATGTCTTAATATTATTTTACTTATATATGAATACAGTTATTTTGGGGTTTAGACACAAGAATGAATGGATCTGATTCAGTCTGAATCAGATGATCCATATGCTATCAAATATTTCTTAAGTTTGATGAAAATATGAGTATAATAATATTATAATCATCAACATTACAAATATTACAAGACTAAAAGGTCCTTAATAATTTGCAGAACATATTATACCACACTAATTGAAAAAAGTGACGAAATAACTCTTTATTAACCGCTTCTAAAAGCCCTTACAAGCATTTATTGATTTCTCATTAATCAATTTGACACTTTTTCTAAGTTAAACACTCATATCTATCCTAATATATTTGGTTGCTTTTATATCTTTTCAACATACCTTTACTGGATCAGATTTTTTTACCAGATTTGTATAAATCATGCTTATATTATAGGTTTGGATTAACTTACTAAGGATTAATTTCCATCAACTAGAGTTTTAAGAATTTTGTACTTACTAAAGCATTTTAACACAATTTCGTTCTTTTCTCTTTCATATCATAATGAGTCTTTTTTATTGTACTCTTTTATTGATAAACACCTGCTTTAAAATCACATGCCTAAACTTTAAGTTTTTTTGTACTTTGTCAAAAATGTAAAAATAAATGAGACGTGTATAATCAAAACATCTATGCAAGAGGAGAGATATGTAGTATATATTTATTTTTTATTCACTATAAGATGACCAAATAGATTGTCGCTTTTCTGCCCAATAAAACATTGCATTTCCACTTGGCTCCATAACAAAAGCACACGTAGTTAATCCATTTGGAATATAAAAGTTAATACTCCATAAAACAATACCATTAACTCCATATAAAACAAGATTACCATCTAATTGTAATATTAGAATGCAATTAGACCCTTTTGTTCCACTACTCCATCGAAATGAAACTGAAATAGTTTCAATTGAAAATATTTTTAAAGCACAATTTGAGTCTAAAATAAAAATAAATTTATTATTAATAGAATATAAAGCAGAACCAGGATATAAAGTGGTATGAACTGAAGGGCCAGTTTCAATAGAATTTTTATATGGCCAACAATTATTTGGATTCCAAGGAGAATTGATTTGCAAAACATCATAATAGTTATTCTTTAAATTCAATATTGATAATGGTCTGAAATTTTTTGTAAAGTATTTCAATATAAAAATATTAGAAACCCCTATTATAAATTTTGAACCAGATATGCTTTCCATGGAGTGAACAATATCATTACATGCTTTTAAAACTTCATTACTAGAAATGACAATTTTTCCAGGTGAAGCACTACAAGTACCTCCAATAAAATTATGTATAAAAAGGCTTAAAAATACTGAAACACCATCAATAACAATCATTCTTATAGGAAGAGCATCGCCAGATCTATATTCTTGATTTAGACTAATAGATGTTCTATAGTAATCAATAAGTTCTGTTATAATTAATCTAACCTCGCCATTTTTAAAGAACCCGAGGTTATCTTCATCATATTCAAAATTTACTGTACTTCCATATAGAAGGTTAAAGTTATTGCAACATAACAAAATGAAGTATAATTTTTGTTTTGTCATTGTGAACTTCAGGTTTAATTTCTAATTGTATTCAAAAGAAATAAAATCTAAAAATAATTTGAATATTTGATTTTAATGGTAGTGTTAAAATAGTATTCTTCATTTCTTTTCTATTTTATAAATTATTTTTATTACACCATTGATGCAAAAATGTCTAGCATTCCTAAAGGAACTAGTCAATGTGATGGCTAAGAAGTCCCTCCTCGGCCATGGCTTCATATATACGACGAGGACCTCTCTCACAAACGTTTTGAGCGTAGTGTTGGATTTCACCATCAGCAACAAGAAGTAGAAAAGAGGTGATTAGGTCTACGGTTTCAGTGCGAGGAAGAGCAAATGGATGCGGAGGATATGCGCGACAAGATGAAAGAATGGAGGTGTTTGACAAGAGGCCAGTGGTCTTGATCGTCATCAGAATGGTGCTCTCCCACCAGGTTGAGAATTTCCTTCTTTGTTCTCCTCCGTTGCGTAGGCGGGTAGAATGCACAATACAGCACCCCCCCTTATTTAGGGTGGGCCCCATTTGCTTATTTGGATTTGCACGCCAACTCATTGCGCATGCCACCTCATCACTATAAATTAAAGATTGTTCTAGTATATTATTTTCAACTATTTTTAAGTATTTAAAAGTACAAAATCAAATATACTATATATAATTATTAGTTAAGAATAATAATAGAAATAAAACTTACCTGGTTCAACATATGTATATAATATATCAGTTAAAGTTTGTGCAGTACGATTGGCTACCGGAACCATAAACATTCGATCTGAATCACGTTCAATTCCTCCAAAGACCCATTGACCTTCTACTCTTCTACCACGATTATATTTCCGCTTACCAAACTTGCTTTCATCAATTTCCACAATTCTTCCTGGACCACCAATCTTTTGACTACTTTGTTGTAATGTGATAACACAAATATCACGACAAAAGTTGTACCAATTTGTTGTCATATGCTCACTTTTAATATTACACTCAATGTGAGCTTGATCTTGTGGCATTTTAATGCACCAACAATACATCACTCTAAACATTTGAGCAAATGTGAGATTACTATTTGCAAACCATGTATTAATTCTAAGAGATCTTGTGGTATTGCAATTTTTACAATTCCACTTTAAACCATCTTTACAACCTCGATTATCAGATTGATATCTCATTGGTCGATGGCATCTTTCACATTCTCTCTCTTGTGGAAGAAGACCAATCGTAATACAAAAACTAAAAGAATTTACCTTACTATTAGTTCTCTCAATAAGATCAGAAAAAGAAAGAATACTATCTTGAGCATAATCTACATATTCCAATCTAGCCATAATACTAAAGAGAATGAATAAAATAAGAAAGAAAATATAAGGAGCACAAACATAAAACACAATGAGGAAAGACCTAAACCAATCGTAGGTTATATACTTATAAATTATAGCCGTTCATTCACTGGCTAATTATAAAATTATAGTCGTTAACATATCCGTTAACAACATCTACTAATTAAAGTTTAACGTTACTAATTTAGAGTTAGTCGTTAAACATTTAGGGTGCAGCGCTGGGCGTGACTAAGCGCGCCACGGAGGACGCAAGGAGTGAGTGTGGCAAAGGGGCAACCACGTAAGAGTGAGGGGTGCTGTATTATGCATTTCTTCCGCGTAGGCAGTGGGAAGATGCTGCTGATGCATCACCTCGTCTGGAGATTCACGCCATGAAGCAGTGGCCCAGAGTACTGCAACAGACTGAATGGACATCGCTCAATCTCTTCGCGACGAAGATCGATGAGGTCAGTTAGTTTTTTGACTTAAAAACAAAAGTAGATCGTGGAGAAGAGAGACAACGAAGTGGACTACGTGCTCATCTACACTCCCGGACAGATAGAGATTTTTACTTGGTCTGCGTCGGGAGCAATCATCACAGAGGCCTTTGTGTGCACCTTTCCATCGTCCGTGATCTGCGTTGTGGACATCTTCGGTCAGCCCAGTTACATTCATGAGAAACATGCTCTCCGCCTGTAGCATTCTCTACAAGATGCAGCTGCCTTTCATTCTCACCTTTAACAAGACAGGTGTGTGAAGCAACCGTTTTCTGTTGAGGTACCTTCCTACTTGCCAGGTTGAGGCGCGTGTTTTTAAAGAATTATTTCTTGGTGCAGTGAATGAAAGACTTAAAGGCTTTTCAGTTAGCAGTTATGCTGCGTCTCTCTCAGCAAGAGCATGTGCTTGGTTTTGGATGAGTTTTACAACAACTTTAGATCGGTGGGGGATCACAGGATCTGGAATGATGGGGTTTTACAGGACAAACTATTTGTAAATATTTCTTCGTATTTTTTTCTCTTTGGGTTTATCAAACGAGCATGTTTGAGTAGGGTGGAGCTCGAGAAGAAGAAAACCGAGAAACTCAGGCTTGAAGAGACAAGCAGACATGGATCGGCTCCACGAGGACATTGAACAGTCAAAAGGAGGCAAGGAGGTTTTGAGCACCAAATCCAGGAAACAAGAAGACGAAAACGAGGAAGACAAGTGAGCACTAATAGGTAGAGTTGTATATAAAAAAGCTTGCACGATATGATTATGGGAGTGTTTTTGTTTCCTCTCTCTGGTTGCCAATGTTGCTAGTTCTAGAGAAGCGGTAGTGATGGTAGTGGATGAATATCAAATATAATATTATAGTCCCACTTCAATGAAAGGAGCTTTAAACAAGAACAAAAAACTGTTCCACAAGCTGGAGATTTCATAAGAGTAGGAAATGCTATGGCTGCAACTGCAACTGTGAACAAGGGACAACACATTCTGAGCTTGGCATTAGCAGTGGAACTTATATGTAACCAAAAACTGAAACTACAATGTCACCCACAATAAATATAACTACAACAACAATTACAACAATGAATAATAGTGGAGGATGTGTGTGACAACTTTGATTAGACACTAGTGTGTTAGTTCTGTTTCTTTCTACTTTGGTAGAAATTGCTTAAAATTGTAAAACATTCTAAATTACTTCTTACAATTTTGAATTTAAAACTACCACTATCAACAATCTGATTGATTTTAGGGGATTTTAGGGGACTTTTGGATATAGTGGCAAGGATTGTTATCACAACAGTGGAAGGTGGCTGCATCAACACCACATCACTCTCATTCTGCTTGGTTGCTTGGATGTTGGGTGGGTCAGATTGACACAGAGCTGCATGGTGGAGATATTTCAGATCTTATTGTGATAGAGCTTCAATTAAGGGGGTTTGTGCAAACAACCTAAGTTCCTTTGAAAATGGGGCATATTTCGAAGTGGTCTAAAACATTTTCACAAACAGGTGCATGCTTTAGCAGCTTATATTGGAAGAGGGTCACACCCCAAGGTTTCATCATGATGTGGCTTTGGAGAAGTTAGTTGAACAAAAAATGGCTCAATATGTTGGCAGTCGAGAGGAAGAGCATCCTAGGAAGAGTCTTGCATTCCATAGGGCATAGTGGTGGCTCTAGCTTCATGAAGGAGTCACTTGGGAGGAGAAGGGACCAAGAGTGGTGTCGAGACTTTCGTGCTCAAGAGAGTTTCACTTGAATTTCACTTTGTACTTTTTTTAGTCCCTAAAAGGACATTGAGTAATGGATGTTTTGAAATTTAAAATTTTTAATAAAAATATTTACATACTATTTATATTTGCATCACCTTTGTAAACCCGTTATAAAACTTTATCAATCATACTATACTAAAAGCCATCAACAAAGATTGCAAAACCTTCTTCTGTGACATCTAGTCACTCATTGATATAATTTGAATACTTTGAAGCTTTAATGAAAATCTCAGCTAATCAATTCATATATGTTTTTCCTTCCAAAGTAATGCCATTGGATGATGTAAGGATAGCTTAATTAATTAGCAAGTCCACCCATGTAAACCAATAAAAATAGTGCATCTATCTATACTCGTAAAGAGCACCCTAACATATTAAGCATGAGCAAACTCACTAATTACCTTACTCAAATGGATTCATTTCAGTGGACATTCGACAACTTCCCCTCCACATTTGCTCATGCTTATTCATCTGTCATCCTCTTTTGTCCCACCTGTAGAAGTGTGGTCGGGTGTGTTACCTGGCACCATCCCATAAAAACATCATCATAAGCAAACCGTAGCCAGGTGTTTAAGTGAAGCCACCCCTTGTTATTGGTATCAACACCAATGAGACCATTGGACTAAGTAAATTTATTTCAATCACAAGGGTATTCCAGCAAGGGCAATAAAAGTTGAGGCAAGGAGCAGGAAGAAAGAATCCACCCTCCTTGTGCTCTCACAACTAGATAGAGTTAGTTTTCTATTTTTAGATTAAATAACAATAGATTGTTGTTTATCTGCCGAATAAAAAATTTCATTTCCACTAGGCTCAATAACAAAAGCACAAGTATTGGGAATATAAAACTTTATACTCCAAAGAAATACCATTAACTCCATATAAATAAAATTACCATCTAATTATAATACTAGAATAAATAGTCCCTATTGTTCCACTACTCCATTGAAAAGGAACTGCAGTGGTTTTGATCGAAAATATTTTTTATGCACAATTTTATTCTAAATTAATAGAATACAAAGTTGAGCCAGGATACAATATGCTATTGACTAAAGGTCCAGTTTCAATAAAATTCTTATATGGTCAACAATTATTTGGATTCCAAGGGATGTTAATCTGCAAAGGATCATAATTATTCTTATAGTTATGTATATTTAATTAAAATAATGATAATAGTCTAAAATTTCTTGTAAAAATCCAACGTAAATTCCTTGGTGAAGTAGTACAAATATCTCCAATGACATTATGTTTAAAAAGACTTAAATTAACAACAATAAATTTTATAGGAAAAAAGTATCCTAATTTATATTCATGTGATAGATTAATAGATGCTCTATAATAGCCAATAAGTTCAATTATAATCAATTCAACCTCACAATATTTACAGAAACCGTGGTTATTTAAATTATATTCAAAATTTACACACATATAAATAGAAAGTAATTCCAATATAATAAAATTAAATATAGTTTTTCTACTTTTAAAAAACTATTTAATATTTAGTTATTTTCAAATAATTTTTTAAAAATATATTACTATTTTCTGTTTCATGTGCAAGATAAGAGTCAAAATAGTATTCTGAAAAATTAATTAATATCTTCTTTTCTATATGATGTAATCTATCCATCTCATATTTAAGTGATATTTAATTGGGCATAAATAATGACTATTTGGGATTCTTTACTGAGGAATTTTACCTTAGTTTAGTTTATACCATTTTGCCTCTCTATTAATAATTCCAGTGATATAATTTCAGTAACCTTGTCTTGAGTTCCATGGGTGCTGCAAGCTCCACTGCAAAGTGCTGTCCATGGGATTTGACAGGGAGGATTGCTAGGATATGGGGCCTGGGTGTTGTGAGCTCCATTGGAGTACTGCCCAGAAATAGACCTTCAATGTGTTACAATTACTTCCTATTTACTATTGCCATTTTATTGCCTATCACTTTGTGCCAGGCTAAAGCACGAAATCAAAAGACACTCTATTCCTTTTCAGTGATATAAATTATGGGAAAATCACTTAGAACTTTAAACTCACTTACATGATAGGCACTTCTTCAGCTTTCATGCTACCTCTCTCAAGTTGAGTGAGGTGCTTATTGAGCTATTGCATGCTCTCAACTTCATAACCTGGCACAAAAATGGAAAGGAAGCTAGTTATTAATGAAGATTAGAAGGACCAAAGTGATAAATTGCAATGAGAACTTTTCCTTGAGGATTTCATAAATTTTTAACTATCCACTTGTAAGGTCCCATCCCATGCCTCTTAGTTGAGCACAAGTGTATAGCAATCAATTTGTAGCAAGCAGCCTCAGTGCCTTAACATAAAATAAGCATAAGGTAGAGAAAAGCTTACATAAGGTTAACATATGAGTCCATGTTATAAAAATAATTACATTTTGATTACCTAAGGAACCAAAATGTGTGTATGGGTATGGCATGAGGTCCTACCATATTAGTGTGACACATTAGACTGTCATGCCACTTAATCTTGCCATGCAAGTACATGTAATGTTACATGAAATCTAGCATGGGTTTTTTTGTTTTTTGCACTGCATTTTCTTCCTTCTTGTCCGGCCAAGAGCAACAACTTTCGCACAATCTTGGCCACTCTATGTGGGCAGCCATGGTGGGTGTGAGCTTGATCAAATGAGCACTCGCTCACTTGGTCTCACTGCAGGTAGCAGTGGGTGTGATGTGGGCACTTCAAGAGCAAAGGACTTTCTTCGGCTAGCAGTGTGGGCATCATATGGGCACTTCAAAAGCAAGAGCACATGAAAAGTTTCATTCATTAGGATTTGGGTGAAAGGTCTTTATGTATGGATGGCTGTGACTCTTGTTCTTTCATGTGTTGGGTGTGTTGTGCTATTCTGTGCAACATGGGTGTTCTTGCATACAAGCACATGCAAGAGAGAGGTGTTGAGCATGGACTTCAACATGTGGCAGTTGGAGCACTGCATTGGATTGTTGGCTAAGGCCTTTTTTTTTACTCAAGGACAATACAATCACAACGCTATGTGTGTGTTTCTCCAAGTGAGGTAAGCTTCCTTTGTTTAGTTTTTCTTTTTGGCATAAGCTTCACACTCATTGTAGTGAGTGCAATCTCAAGCATTAGAACATTACACTTGCATATAAGTGACTAACAATTCCATATGTGTTTTTCAATTCTCTCCATGATAGTTATATAGGTGTTTGCATGTTGTGGAAGGGGCACATAAGTGATGCCCTCTACTTTGCTCAATTTCTTGGCCTATACACATTAATGGCCACACTTTCATAGACACACTTTTGTGCTAGTCCCTTGCTAGTAAGCTTGGTAAACGATGTGACGTTATGTATTGTGTAAAGTGTGAATGGAGATTGGGGGATGCAATGTTTGTTGATAAACCATGCATGGTTGAGTTCATGTGTGGAATTATTGGTAAATGTGTGGCATAACGCCCATTAA